AAAAAAAACTAAATAATACAACACAAAATAAAGAAAAATAAAGAAAAATCACCTTACAAAATATAATTATCATACCGCCAAAATAACTTAAATAAAAACATAAAAGTTACTAAAAACACACTAAAAACCTTACAAATAAACAAATAAGGATATTCTGGATGACAACCACCTAAATAAGTTAACCTAATAAACAATCTAACAATAAATCAGAAAACAAACTGACGACTGATAAAATAAGAACTAGAAAATTTATATGTGGGTACCCACAACAAAAATAATAAAACCAAAATCAAAGCCAAACCCCCCAACTTTGAATCAATACAACGCAAAATAGCATAAAAAATTAAAAAATACCACTCAGGCTTGATAGTCACCGGCGTTTCTAAAGAATCAGCTTCTAAATAACTCTCTACATCTAAAATATACTCAGGTATATAAAACAAACAAAAAATAATAAATAAACAAACAAACATCAAACACATAAAATCCTTAACAGTAAAATAAGAGTGAAAATAAACAACATCCCCATACCCATTACTAACAAACAAAGGATTTTTAGAACCAGTACGATGTAGATAAAAGAGATGAATAACCATCAAACCCAATATTACAAAACCAACACAAACATGAGCAGAAAAAACACGAACAAGAGTTACTTTAGTAACAGAAAATCCACCAACAATATAACTATACAAAACAGAACCAATCACAGGCAAACTCTGAACTATAGAAGTAAGTACGGTAGCCGCCCAATAAGACATCTGATGTCACGGTAAAATATAACCCATAAAAGCCTCAGCCATAGTTAATAAATACAATACAAAACCAACATTTCAAACACCAATCTTACTATAGCTAGAATAATACAAAGCACGACCCATATGAATAAAAAAAAGCACAAATAACACAGTAACACCCCATATATGTCAATAACGAACACATCAAGTAAAAAAAGAATCATTAGTAAAATCCATAACACAATAAAAACTTAAACCAGAATCAGCAACATACAAAAAAGATAGAATAACACCTGTAAAAACTTGAAAAACCATAAAAGAAGAAATCATAAACCCACTACATCAATAATAATTTAGAGAATAATTAGTAGGCAAATCAATTAATTTACGACGAATAATATTAACCATAAATTTACTGATACAACATAAAGTATTCAACAAAACCACAATTTGTCAGTTTAATTAACATAACCTATCAATAAAAAATTAACACACATAAACAACAGTATATACAAACAACCAAACATAATCTACAAAATGCCAATATCAAGTTGCTACTGTACAACGATACATACCCGCTTCCATAGATCCCACAACAAAAATAAAAAACAAAGCAACAACTCCCAATAAAACATGAATAAAATGTAAGCCAACGGTACAAAAACTTCTACCATAAAATCTAGAACCTAACAATTTTATAAAAACTTCATCAAACTCTAATAACTGCAACACAACAAAGCCTAAACCAAGAAGAACAGTATAAAACAATAAGTAACGAGAACCATCTCAAAACAACAAATGATGATAAGCAGTCACAGTAATACTAGAACCTAACAGCACAAAACAACCTAAAAAGGGCAATTCCAAAGGCCTAGACAAACTGATAAATCCAAAAGAATCATAATATAAACAGCAAACTAATAAACAACCAAAAACAGAAACCTCCCTAAAAATAAACAACCAAAAAGCAGATTCATAATGAAAACAAACAAACTTCAAATCTCATCAATATAATAATAAAGAAAACAACAAACCCACACAACCAACAAACAAAAACAACATTTTCCAAAAAAATAAACCAACTAACAAAAACCCAATATAAAA